ACAAACACATGTACTGGTGAGTATACCCCACACACATACACAATAAATAAAGAATATTTTGGAATTCTAAGATTTCTATCTCTTTATTTTCTTATAAAGGGTGTAAGCTGTGTGCCTCATATGTATCAGTTTTACCATCATCTATGTAAGTGTAAACATTCTAAAATCTTTTCTGATATCATCTCCTTTGGGGAGAACCAGCAGCTTTGTCCTTTGTGCCCATAGTACCCTGATTTCTTTTCTAAGCTCCTTATGGATCTGAACTTCTTTGGTCTTTGGATCTCAGGATCACATAACCTAGAACGCAGTACCAGTCACCCATTGGGTACTCACTGTGTTGAATAATGAGGGTACAAATTGTGTACAATATTTCAAGTTTGTTAGCTATCCATCTAATTATTCAGGTATATAATATAGTGTATTTCAGATGTGGCTTAATATAGATGATGTATTAAAAGCTACTTGGCAATTTTTCAATTTTATTTCTCTATAAAGAAAGTAGACCTCTGTCATAACTGTACCCACCCAACTTGTAACTTTCTAGAACCTTTCTATACATATGCAAGCAGTTACACATAAGTCTCTATATCTCTATATACAAACCCAAACGTTGTATTTATATATTTATTATTAATAGCACTGGTACAACCATAAACAGTTATGCATGTTTTTACATTATATCTCCCTCTATCATATCAATGCATCATTTTCTTTATTTTTAGCCATAGGAAACTATATAACAGGGGGAAAATCTTGAAGAAATCTTGAAATATTTCCCTGTGTAAATCTGGAGTAATTTTTCCCAGATGACAAAAATTATTGCCATCAGACAGTATAACTTTACACTAGAGCTATTAAAATTAGCAGCACATAAGGGGCATAGGAGGAGATGAGAGAGGGAAGGTGGGATTGGGAGGGGAAGAGGGAGGCGGCTACAGCTGGGATACAAAGTGAATAAACTATAATTAATATAAAAAATAAACATTTAATTAAAAAATTAGCAGCATATATACTTTTAAATTCTGTAGTAGGCACCTTAGAAAAATAAAAAGTAACCTTTCTTAACTTTAATAGTATATTTTATTTACTATAGTCATAATAGCATTTCAATAGGAAATTCTGCTGTTTCTGTTTCTCAGTCTTTGAAATATAGTCAAATCAAGCATGTCTTGTTTGAACCAGCCCTGTGCCAACTCTCTAGTAGTATTGCATACAGTTCGAGACCTTGCTTCCAGTAGTTTTGATTAATAGAATTTCTGAATGTAAATGTATCTTTTGTTTTTCACTATGTTTTTCTGGCATAACACACTTTGTACACCAGGCTAGCTTCAAAACCATAGAGATCCACCTGCCTGTGTCTCTGGAGTGCTGGGAATACCAAGCCCAGCTAATTGTTACTTTTGATAAGTAATTTCTAATTTTTAAAATAGGAATTAAGATTGTACATAGTCTTTTAAATTGGACTGTTGGGCCATTTATTTACTCCTATATATTGATTCTTCATTGTTTTTCTCTGATTTATAGTATTACTCTTCTAAATACATTAAATGTTTGCATAACTGTTCATTTGGTATTGAAAATCAAGGCCCCTAGGATGAGACTTTCTAGAGAAGCAATAAGGAAGGAAAGATATGCTGTGACATATGTAAGGTTCAGGAAATCTCAGGCAATGACCCCCACCATTCCTACTTTCAAGGTCATCATCCCTGGCCAAAAAACCCCAAACCAAACCAAACCAAAAGAACAACAGAAAATATCAACCAGGTGACACAAAGCCCCAAAGAGACACTTCTAGAGTCTGTGCCATGTTATAGATTCTGTTTTAGATTTACTGAAGTGACCACCTCCATCTAATAATAATGCAGTAGTTTAAATAGAGATTGAAACAATTGTATGTTTTATACTACAGCCTTTTTCCTGTTTGTGTTCACTAACTTTAAGGCAGAGAACGGTCTTTATTCCAAGCTGTAGTTAATTGCTGACCTTTAGTTCCTGTGGTATCCTTTGTGCCAGGGGATTGATACAATGACTTGCCCTTGATATTGCTTTCATTCCAAAAGCTTGCATGCAAAGAAGAGTTCTGGTGGCTAGCTGTGCCATTCCCTATTATACTTCATAGGGAAAGGACCATCAGTTTCTTCCATACTATTATTATTATACTACTCATTTCAGTCAGACGGCGCTCATTGATTGGAGTCTACCATTTGTTCTCATGTCATGTTGTAACATATTTATTGAAACAAACCTTTAGGCTTTATGGCTTTTACCTGAGTTGTCTGAACTGTACCTTTCAAAAGGTCTTTTCTTGTCTGAAAAAAAAGATTAAGAGAAAGCCATAGCTGATGTCAAAGGAAGCCAGTCTCTAGGATAACCAGTTGTTTCTCCTATCTATCTAGGCCTACATACATAAAAGAGATTCACAATGAAGAAATCATTAAGGTTATTATAGCAGTTCTGAGGCTGTCATCATGTGAATTTATGTTATTTTCTCCATTTTTTGATTTGGAGAATCCTTGTGAAAAAAAACTGTGTTTTTCTTTTTCTTTTTTTTTTTTCTCTTTCCTTTCCTCTTTTCTTTTCTTTTGGGTCTTACATAGCGTAGGTTGGCCTTAATCACTATAAAGCTAAGAAGGATGATCTTGAACTTCTGATCCTCCTGTCTCTGCCACCTTAGTTATGAAATTACAGGTGTATGCTACCATGCCTTGTTTATGTTGTGCTGGGGATTAATCCCAAGACTTCACACATACTAGGCAAGCTTTCTACCTATTAAATTCATCTATTTCAGTACTTTACAGCATAGTTCCCAAGAAAAGGAGTTATTTTAATAGAAAAAAGAAAACATCCATTTCCTAGTATATAAAACAAACTTGATTTTTGAAAGTATAAAATATATGCCAGGCATGGTTGGTATATTTGCAGCACTTAGGAAACAGGCAGGAGGATTCAAGCTCAAGGCCAGCCTGGACTATGCAGTGAGTTAAAATTTAACCTAGGTTATATAGCAAGTCTTTGTTTCAAAAAATTAATTTATTATAAATTGAATATGTAGGCAAAAAGAACAATGTTCCTGGATTTACTATGAATTCTTATAGTGTGTTAGATTTTAATTTTTCTCAGAACATTTATTACTTAAAATGTAACTACATTTTAAATTGTATGCAAAGACTTACAGTCTAATTCATTAATGCTTTTTAGTATTATTAACACAGCAGGCATGCGTTATAGTGGGGAGTGGTCCTTTCTACACACTAATTCTAGATTTAAAGTCCCTTCTGAGTTCAAAGTGAGTGGGTAGGGGCTACAGGAACAGTCTTCTAAGAGCATGGTGCAAATTGTGTATAGCTGTGATACCCATAGAAGACCCATTGTGGCTACTTTCTATTCTTTGGTTTTGAACAATATAGTGAAAATATGGTTACACAGCATTTTTAGCTAGACTGCCTAAGGTAACCTATGATTTCAACTTGTGTAGCTAATCAACTAGAAAAGGTCCATAGTATACTATAATCATTAAAGGACTTTACAGCACCCTAAAAATCTATGGGATTCATCTAGCAAAACTGTTCTCCTTTCATACACTATCTCTTTAATTACCTATTGCTCTTGTTTAGATGTTTGTGGCTTAATGTTCTATGTCTAAAAGGTATAAGATAAAAAAGAAAAGCACAACTCAAATGGTTGATTTTATTCTTTTCTTTGCTGGCTTAAAATGTTTAAAATTGGGCTTGGAAAATTGCTCAGTTGGCAAGCATAAGAATCCGAATTTTGGTCCCTAAAACAAGGTCTGGTCATGTCTGCCTTTAACCTCAGCCTTCAGAGGGGGAGGGATAGACACAGGTAGATAGGTCCCTGGTAGTAACTGGTTGGCCAGCCCAGCCAAATCAATAAGCTTCAGATTCAGTGAGAAAAACTACCCCCTCACCCCACAAACCTGCAAAGTCATAAAGATATGCTATAGTCATGTGACTCATTGCCCTTTAGTAATCACCCTGTAGCTAAAATAAGATCAGTGATACACATTTAGATTTGTAATGTAGCAATTTCATGAAAAGTACCCATAAAAGCCTATTGTCTTGGCATTAGTCATTACTAGAGTAACTTTCTTATTTATTTTTTGAATAATCAAATCAAATCAGATCTCCTTCCCATGAGTTGCCTAAAGAATTATCCTCATATGATCTCATCAGTTAGCAAATATTCTCTTAAAATGGGCTAAATTCTCTGTTACTCTTAAATCGTAATTTAAAATTTTCATTTAAATATTTATGTAAAATATGTACATATATTTTGTAGAATAATGACCTAGAAAAGTACTGTCATTTTAACTGTTTTTTTTTTTTTTTTTTTTTAGTGAATGTAAAAATTGAAGGAGTTTTGTTTTTTTTTTTTTTTTTTTTTTTTTTTTTTTTTTAGTGAATGTAAAAATTGAAGGAGTTCTGTTAGATTTTTTGTTTTGTTTTTGTTTTTGTTTTAGCTGAAAGGAGCATGCTTTTTTTATGCTAAGGGCTTGTTTGCTGTTCTATTGCTCATCATTTTCCAGTTTTTAAAATCTAAACAGATCCCAAGTTTTTTATTGCATTTAAGATTATGTCTTACTACTGATACAAACTCAGTCTCTGGAAAGATTGGTCATGAAGATTGAAATTAGACATATGGAATAGGAACGGGTACCATCTTCTTATGGTCCTGTGTTACCCAAGACCTTGGTACAGGTATCTCAGTGAGTACACTGTTGAGTTCGTCTTCAATACCTGATTTTGGCTGTTCAAGCAGTCTGGGGTTTTGTTGTTGTTGTTGTTTTGGTTTTTGTTTTCTATTTTTTTGTTTTTACTTCCATTCATAGGATACTTTGGAAAACTTCCATTCATAGAATATTTTGAAAAATGATATAGTCCTTTACTCTAAGTAGGTATTTATGGAATAAGCCATACATAATGACATTAGAATCAGTTAAACATAATTTTTTTCTCTTTTTATGCACTACTTGACATCAAAAGCAAAAAGAGGTAAGTTGGTTATAAACACATAGCTGAGCCATATTTTCCTTAATAGATTTATTCCTTGCCTGACCTAATTTCCATAAATAAAATACTTTTACATCAAGAAGCTTATCATTGTAAATTCCTTAAGAATACATGTAAGTACCTTTTATAAAATTGGATTTTTAAAAATAATATTTAAACATATTACCATTCCTACAAATGTTGTTTTAATTTAAGTCTTAGGACATTTGGAAACAATTTAGTTTTGGTTATTGTTTACTTGCTAATGTACATTACATATTATAAGAACTCATTTCTTAATATAAGAAAAAGAAAAACACAGAACAAAAGAACATCCACAACAAACCAAACCAAAAAGCAGCTGACATTGGCGAAATCCTTAACTTTGAGATTCATTGATTTGCAGAAGAGGATGTCCAAACTTCTCAGAATGTTCTTCAGTGTGATTTTTCTGTAATGATTTAAAAACAAAAATTATTATGCAAGAAAATCAAACACATTTTATTGAATTGTATCTCATGGATTTTCCTTGTCTGAGATATATCTTTATAACTGAACTTTTTAGTGAATTATTGGGTATAATTTGTTTAGTGTATTTATCTCTGTGTCTTTGATGATGAATTAGGACATGAAATGATGATCTGGATTTGGTATATGCTAATTAACTTTGCTTACCAAGGATTGACAGCCTTATTATCTTGAGTTAACTCTGCTAGCTTGCATTGCTCTTGAGAAGGGGATTTCTAAGTAAAGGGTCATGTATGAAAAGGTGTTTAATCTGGCAACACGGTGTACTTTTACCTCTTGGTGCCACTGTAAATAATAATACTCTCTTTCCCTTTATCGTCCATTTCTGTCACGCTCATGATTTATTCCGAAATTGTCCACAAGCAAAAGGTGCAGATAATTTATATATTTCTCTTTTGTAAGATTATCATAAACTGGATTTTTTCTATAAACATTGTTTTGTGTTTTTTGACTAGCCATATGACATCATGATATCATATGGCAAGTCTGTGTTTTGTAAACAGAAAAATTTCTTCTCTGCTTAGCAAATATACTTAATACTTTTCAGAGTACAATGAACTTGTATGTTATTGTCATTTAAGGAAGGCAGAACCAGATGCTTTTAAAAAATTTGTTTTTTGCCTGAATTATATTAATATTTTTTGATATTTCAACAGTTCTATACTTTTGTACTCTGAAGGATTTTAGTGTATAACAACTGTTTCAAACTATCAGGGATATGAAGATATAATGGAGTTTTCTGTGTTGAACACTGAGTGTCTGATGCTATAAATTAACATATTATACCCCAGAGAAGTTGGAAGTTATACTATCATTAATTATCAGTGGTTACTTTTAGAGAAAATAAAGCATTTGTGGAACATGTGATACAATTGGCAAAAAGGAATGAGATGGTCAACTCTGTGTTTGATTATAAATGAAGTGTGAATTGTGGCCAATCAAATGGTCACAGCTACCTATTTTTATTAGTGTCAATGTATCACTAACTCATTAATGGAGTTTGAAAACATTTTACTGATTGTAATTAGTATTTCTGTGTTTCTATCATTTCCTCTTATTTTTCTTTCTCTAATATTTCTGTCTCCAGTTTTTCCTCATGTTTCCTGGTGTTTTAGTTGATATACTTGGGAGCCCATAGGACTACTTAAGAAGTGTATTTGACACTTTTTTCTGTTAGTTCATGAATACACTGTTAATCACTTCATAGATTTAGTGAGGAATAATTTAGTATTGTTGTTATTGATACATCTTAAATGGTAATTTAAAAATTATTTATCTGATTTGAAGTCTCCAATTATCAAAAAGAAAAATTAACATTGCTGTATTAACCTTAAAATCTTTATTAGATAGCATTCCCTCTTTCTTATTCCTTTGGTTAGAAACCAATTTTGATGGCAGGATTGTGTGATTCACAAACTCTTTCTTCCTTGAATGGATTTGTCAAACATTTACAAAGTACTCATAAAGAAAAAATTCACAAATGCTTTAAGGGAAGTGGAGTACATATTTTGGAGCAAATATTTTGCATCACATTGAAAATTGTCTATGCAAACTACTGAGGGGAAAATAAGCAACCTTAATTAGACATTCTGCAAGGAAAGTTGCCAACAAAAGCTGATAGAGGTGATGTGTATGGAGCTTAAAGAAGTTAGATAGTTTCTTCCTGGATGGTGGGGAATGCTGTTCGAGACTGGACAGTTCTGAATAGTCTGAGAGAGAAGGGGCATTTCAGAAGAACAAAAAGATAGGAACAAAGGCTTTTGGAAATAGATTTTATTTTATTTTTTATTTTGACCTTTGTTTCTTCACTATAGTTAGTCCCTTATTTCTTGAAGTGGAAAACATCAGTCATAACCAGACCTTCTTTTTTTTTTTTTTTTTTTTTTTTTGCCCTGTTGTCTAATCAATGGGCTCTGTGCTACATGTTTTCACAAGCATTCTCTCACCTGATCTTAATGGGAATTCTGCAAGATTTTTGTTTAATGTCTCCACTTATCGAGTAAGTAAGGCTCAAAATTTGATGCTCAGAATAGTCAAATTACTTATTTTGTCACTTAGCTACTGGTCCACAGAGCAGGAAGCCAAACACAATGTCTCTTTAAGTGTATGGCTCTGTGGCAGAGTTCAGGCTTAATGTGTCTAAGGACTATATTCAACCTTTGGCAAACCAGAGATAAATGCATACTGTATTAGTTACTTTTATGTTGCTATGATACAATTCCATGACCAAAAGCAACTTATAGAAGAATTTATTTTGATTTACAATCCCAAAGGGAGAGTTTATGATAAGAAAGGGATGACAGCAAGCAGGTGGATCAGGAAGTTTGCTGACTAAATTTCAATACAACAGGAAACAGAGAGAGCCAACAGGAAGTTGCATTAGGTTGTAAAGTCTCAAAGCCTACCCACAGCAATATACTTCCTAAAGCTTCCATAACTCCCCAAACAGCACCACAAATGGGGGATCAAGGGTTTAAATATATAAGTTTTTGGAGACTTTGTCACCCAAACCACAAGTGCTTAGTTCTTTCTGATAGACTCTGAATACCTGGCTAAAAAGGAGACTTGAGCAGCATAAGATAGAGAAGGCAGTATAAAGAGACTGCCAAGAACAGTGGTGTGAGTGTCACTGACAGAGGCAGGAAACGCCTTGTAGTATGCTCATCACCTATCATGGTGGGACTGCATGACCCTTTCTGAGGCTGGAATGTATCCAGAAAAACGTCTGTTCGGATTACGCGGAGAGTTCACAAACACCAAACTCCTATGTTTGTAAGCAGTTGTAATGAGTCAGTCTTCTTAGCTCCATGTACAATGTATAAAAGATTATATTTTACTAATGTAATTTCCCAGATTTTGCATTCTGTCATTAGTTTAGTTGTCTCCAATAACATTCATTTGGTAGATTTTACGCTTAGTGTATATACTGCTAACAAAATGCTAAAATATGAGTGCAGATTTTCATTTATAATTTGTATGTTCTTTTGTATGTATTGTTGGGATTTGAGTTTTTTTGACTTAAAATATATTTATTTACTTCTATCCTTGAAGAACTTTAAAGGTGGAGAAGTTTGAGAGTATTTGGGGTTTTATTGGACTGAAGAAGTACTCTTGACAGAAAGTGGGTGTTACTATTGCATCTACTTTAGAACATGTATCAAAGGTTCTGTTTTAGGTTTGTTTGTTTGTTTTTTCACTGTGGTTTCAAGATACCACAGACTAAGCAATTAAACAAGAAATTGTATTTATTTTCACACACAAACAAACAAACAAACAAAAAAACAAAAACAAAAACCTCAAATTCAAGGTCAAGGAACCTACAGGTATCTCCTGAAGCCTTTCTTCTTGGTTTGCAAATAGATACCCTCTTACTGGATCCTCATTTGGTCATTCCTCTGAGTTATATACATTCTTGTGTCTCTCTGACCTCTTCCCAGCACAAGGACATGCATCAAAGAGGAGCTGGGCCAAACCCAATAGCATCATTTAAACTTATCTATCCCTCTGAAGGTATCATTTCTAAATACAACCCTATTCAGAGGGGCTGGGTTAAGGATTAACTTTAGGAAAACATAATTCAGGTCCTATCAGGCTTCATGGACATTATAATGAAATAACATGTATAGAACAGTCAGAAACTTGGGCTTAAGTTCTAACTCTGTCACTTACTTGGGCCCTGTGCTGACTAGTTTTATGTCAACTTGACACAGGTTAGAGTCATTTGGGAAGACAGAATCTTAATGGATAAATTGCTCCCAACAGATTGGCCTAGACAAGCCTTTGTGACATTTTCTTAATTAGTGATTTATATGGGAGGGCCTATCCCATGGTGTGTGATGCCACCCATGGGTAGGTGGTCCTGGAGTTATATAATAAAGCAGACTGAATAAGCAAGCCATAAGCCAGTAAGCCACTCCTACATTGCTTCTGCATTGGCTCCTGATGGATTACAAGATATAAGATGAAATAAACCCTTTCCTTCCCAAGATGCTCTTGATCATTGTCTTTTATCATAGCAATAGAAACACTAACAGACCCTAAGAAAGTCCCTTAACTCTTTGATCCTTAGTCCTCTAAGCATAAAAAAAAAGTTCTCTGTAAAAGCCACACAAAAAGTGACCAGCATAAACTCCTCTTCTTTCCAAGCTTCATTTCCTTATGCTTAATAGAATTAAATTAAATCTATCTGAATGTGGTGATACATACTTATAATCATGTTACTTGGGAGGCAGAGGCAGGTACCAGCTTAAAACCAACATGGGACCCTGTTTCAAAAGTAAAATAAAGAGAAATAAAATCTATTTGATTGACTTTTTATAAGGCTCAGAGATCTTTGTATGAACAGTGTTTAGTTTGTGTTTGCAGAGCACTTTCTGAACATTGCAAGTTACCATTATGTTTCATCTCTCTTGTTTTTTTTTGTTTGTTTGTTTGTTTGTTTTTACTTTCATTCTGTGTGTTTCTTTTTTTATTGT